CTTGCCTTCGGGAACCGCTTGCCGTCCACAGCCGTGGGCTCTGAGCTGTGCCAGAACCTCTGTGCTCGGAACCCGTCTGGGACGCCTGGGGGGGGGGCTGCAAAGGTGGGGATGGGGTCTCGTGGATGCGGAACGCTGTCAGCGCGTCGATGCAATCCCCGTTTCCCTCCAAAGTCTACCAGCGCTCCTGGCCAGGTTCGACGATCCCGATGTTCTCTAGGTCCTCGAAGATCAGCCCCGCCCGCGGGTTGGACGTCGCCGAAAGTAGTTCGCCCCCGTCTGGGCCCATCCGAGTGAACATCTGCACCTCGGGCCCCTCGTAGATCATCGCCCCGAACAACGCTGCCAACTGCTGCATGCGCCAGTCCGGGTTTCGAGCCGCCAGATGCCACTCGCGTAGGCGCGGCGCTCTGAGCTCCTGCCAGACGGGCGGGAGTCGTAAAGACTGCCATATCTGCTCCGTCGATGGCATCCTGATACATGTCCCTTTTGCTCCTTCCGTTCGTTCCGCCACTGCGTGCTTAATGCGCTCGGCGCCCTAGCAGCCCACCTGCGTGTCGGCCAGGGCGAAAGCAGGGGCGCCCGAGGGCGCTGAGCCGCAGGCGATGCTGCAGAAGACCCTGCGCCGCAGGGGCCATGACGCGCACGCATGGCAGAGCTTTCTCACGCGGACTCACCCACGCCTTGCCGCTCGGCATCTGGCAGAACCCCCCCCGCCGCCATGTTCCCGTCGCGTGGGAAACTGCCCTCATGAAGGGGGGGGCGCGGCGATGCCGTGGCCGTCGACGCACGTCCGTCTGTGGAATGGCGCGCTGGCGTGCCCGCCGCGTTCTGTGCGATGTTGGGCTTGGTCAACTCCCTGTCGAGCCTGAAGTCGGACTCCTTGACGCACTTGCGCGCGTCGTCGGGGCGGGCCACCTCGCGCGCCTGATTCGCATCGCTGGCTCGCGCCCGCTTCGAGGTCCACGGGCCCCGCGGAGACGACGTACCTCGCGCGCAACTCGCGCGCCAGCCAGCAACGGGGATCTGGAAGGCCCCCTTCTCGAGATTCGCCGGTGCCGCGTCTCCCACGCAGGGCCCGACTTCGCCATTGAAGACTGCGACCCTGCTTGGGGGCCCTCACCACGAAGCAGCCGCCGCGGCGCGCGTCCTCCGCGATGTCTCACGCGTCGATCCTCCGGATTCTGTCCGTCGCCTTCCGTCTCCAGGGCCTCGCGGCTCGCTGATGCGAGGGCGTTTTGCATGTCGCGATCTGCATCGGCAACCGATGTCTTTGCTTCCTCCAGCCTCCCGCGCGGCGCGGCCGTCACCCGCGCGGCCCCTTGTCGATCTCATCGGGAAGTCTCCGCAGCCGCTGCGGGCCGCGCCCGTCTGCGCCCCGACCGCGGTCTTGACCCGCGACTTGCCGAGGGCGCGCAGCCCGTGCAAAGGTCGCATCGCTGCCGGGATCGTTATACTTTCGAGTTTTCAGGCAAGTGACGAAAACGGTCGGTTCCAATCCGCGATGAGTCGTCGCTGTTGCCGCGTCCGCGCCAGTGCCCACAAGACCCAGCATCTCGCAAGTCCACCTGCAAGTGTCGGAAATGGCGCCCCCGGGCCCGCTGACGCAGATGTCGCTTGCCTGTGTGAGCAGGAGCGCGACTGCCTCTGCTGGCACCGACCATGGTGCAACACCCCGTCTCCACTCGGCGCCCCCCAATCCGCGTGCGATGCGGGTGTAGTCGTCGACGGCCTCGGCGTCGTCGTCGATGGAAGGGGGGCGAGCTGCCGTCGTGCATTCGCACCTCCGCCGTCACCGTCTCGTATTTCCGTATGTCGGAGACTACCCCTCCCTTCTGCGGCGGCAGCGCCAAGTCTTCTCTCCAACTCCGCTCGCGGCCAGCAGCCCGCAAATTCTCAACTCCTCAGATGCTCCTCCCCGTCGCGCAAACTCGTGAAGTTCCTCGTCTAAATGTCGCTCTCGCTCGTCGCGTGCTCTTTTCCACCCTCTTCTGATGAATAAGTGCGTGACCCTGCGCAGCCGTGGCGCGCTGCCGCCGCGTCGTCCATCATCGCTGCCTTTGCTCGCCGCATGTCCTTGCATGGCGCCGCTCTCTCTTTCGCGAGCTTCTGGCACTCGACAGGCGTCCTGCGCCAGTCGCCGCGAAGTGCGTCTTGCCCGCCGCTTGCAACGCACCGGCCTTTGTTTTCTTACCACCCGCCGACCGCGCCCACCTTCTCGGAGAAGTATGCGTCCGCGCCAGGGCACCCTGTCGCCGATGATCAGTTGCAGCTGCTGCTCGACCTCTTGGAAAGGGGCCCTGGGACACACAAACAAATACACACAAATAACACGATTCCCCATATTTTCCCATATGTTCTGGGTTTCTGTCTTCCCCCCCTGCCCATACTTTCCCATATTTTTGGGGGAATCGACGATTACTTGTGTCCGTGTGCTGTTTTCCCTCCTGACTTTTTTCAGCTACACCTAAGAGTGGCCCCAGGTAAGAGTGGCCATTGGTGCACGACCTACGGGGGCCGCGGGCAGGCCGAACTGCAGCGCGCAGGCCGCTGCGATCGCATCGCGCTCAGCCATCTGGGGATCCCCATGTGCCCGCGCCAAAGGTCACCCCAGCGAAAGGCTACTCTTACGCGTAGCCGACTCCTGTCTGAACGGAAGGCCCGCCGGCTGGCCGATCAGCGCCCACGCCAAGTTGAGGTAGTCCCTTCAGTTCCGTGGTCGTCATCTTTCTTTGGGTGGTCAAACTGCACTCGGGTCTCGACGTGGCATGCGATGTGGTCGCGCTGCCTGTTGTTGGGGATCGCCCGCAACTTTCTGTTTGAGTGGTACACTTGCGCGGATATTGCAATTATGTTCATTCAGTGGTTGGCTATGCTCACGCCGTCTATCCATATGTCCTGCTGTTTGCCGCCGCTATAAGCGGGGACCACGGGGTGGACGGCGATCATGACCATCATCGAATGCCTCTCACCTAGCTGTCTTACGGCACTGCCAGTGTAGTATTCCTTGTCCTTCCCATAGTTTCACCACGGCCGTCGACTCTATGGGGTGTACGTGGCCTCCATCGCGCAGTACTCCCACCACGACGTTGGCCTCCATAGCCATGAAGGGCATCGGCCTCGCGGGGGTGCTGCTTGAGACCTGGCCCTTCGGCCTCATGATCTTGCCAATCGTGTTTTTGATACGCCCCCGGTCGCCTGAGTCTATTAATCTTGGGCAAAAACAGGATGCGATGATGGGTACGTCAAACGTGTGCCCTCTCAATCGAGATGCAACGAAACGACTTGAGAACATTTGCATACCACTCCACCTCCGTACTACTTCGGATGTTGGGGGGTTGGAACGGAAATGTCCCCAACCGGGAAATCGGTTTCGGTTTCGATTCGTGTCGTGCGTGCGGGCGAGGCGCGAGTTCCATCTCTCGTAGAGGCCATCTATTGCCAAAAGGGCCACCCCCCGAGCGTCGGGCGTGGCCCCCGGTTGTCCCAGCGGTTGTCCAAGCGGTTGTCCCGATGGTTGTGGTTGTCCCGACGGTTGTCCCGATGGTTGCCCCGATGGTTGTCCCGATGGTTGCCCCGATGGTTGTCCCGATGGTTGTCCCGATGGTTGTCCCGATGGTTGTCCCGGCGATTGTCCCGATGGTTGTCCCGATGGTTGTCCCGACGATTGTCCCGATGGTTGTTCCGATAGTAGTCCCGATGGCTAATCCATATATATAGAGAGAGAGAGAGATCGACCTCTCTCTCTCTATATATATGTGTTCATATATGTATGGAAACAGAGATGTATGTATGCGCGTACACATAGATACGTAGATCGATACACATCTGGAAGTAGAGAAAAGACATACATCTAGATATGGAGAAATATGGAGCGATGTATAGCTATATACGTATGACGCTACGTATATCTACAGACAAAGAGATCGATACTCAGTTAAATATATGATATGGATACATATACACTTATGACAATAAATGTGTATACATAGATAGGGAGCTAGCTATACAGGTATATGCATTGAATGATTGCTTGGTAATTAGACCGATCGGCTGATATACATATATATATGTGTAGAGATATACGGTTGTCTTCAACAGATTATCATGCAGACAGGGCGATCGATAGATGGGGAGATGTGCGCGACAATAGGAACATTGAAGAAACCACAAAAGAACCCAGAGCCATTGGGAAATCGACCGCCTCCCCGGTTCCCCCCCCCACAACCTCCTTATCACCCGTAGGGTAGTCCTATCGGTCTACTCCTGGTCCTGCTGGTGCCCTTGTGCAGCAAGCAGGTGGTGACGCACGACTCTTTGGACAGCTCGCCCTTCCCTACGCACCCGAACTGGACCGCCCCGAATACTGTGATGAGCTGTGCGCGGACTTCGCCACCGAGCCACGCAGCTCTCTTCGATGACCGACCAGCACACTGACACCTACGTTCTTGCACTCCTCAGCTTTCTGTTGCACGTGGGAAGAGTCCACACCTTGCCGTCGCTCGGACGTCCATTTCCCGGGCACGTTTCGGTCTCGTGCGTGTTTTTTCGCTCGATGATCCAGGATGTTCCTCAAGGGTCCTCGCCAACAAAAAGATGCACATGTCCGAGCGGTGCCAGGACACCACGGAGCGCACCAGCGCCAGCGCCAGCCCTCGCCTTACCCCCGGGGGTCCGCGCCGCAGCTGGGCGGGCACTCCCTCCGACATCGGCCGAGGGAGGCGGTGCCACGAGGCGGCGGCGAGGCCAACGGCGGGCGCAGGGCTGAAGCTGCGTGGCCAGGAGGAGGAGGAGGGGCAGGAGGAGGAGGAGGAGCAGGAGGAGGAAGAGGAGGAGGAGGAGGAGGAAGAGGAGGAGGAGGAGGAAGAGGAGGAGGAGCAGGAGGAAGAGAGGAGCAGGAGGAGGAGGAGGAGGAGGAGGAGCAGGAGGAGGACGTACTCGATGGCAAACCTGCTCCTCCATCTGAGAGGGGGGGGGGGACCAGGCGGGCCCCCCTGCGCGGGGCGCCTCTCGGAGCTGCAGGTCCTCGGCCACCTCCCGCGCCGACGCGAGCCGCGGCGGGGGGGCGGCGGGCGGAGCGGGCACATCAGGGAGGGGGGGAGGTGGGGGGGGGGGAACCCGCTCGGCGGCCTCCCCTGGGCCTGCTCGGGCCGACCCCGAACTCCTGCTGGGCGGCGGTCAGAAGGCGGCGGGACTGCTCAGACCCGAGAAGTTTTGCTGTGTCTTCAGGGAAGGCTTAGAAGAACGTCTCAGAAGGCCGCGGGACTTCCGAACCGTCTGAGGAGGCCTGCTCCTTCTCACTTCCCCCCTCGCTTGCCGCAGACTCGTTGTTCCACTGCCTGCTCCCACGCTGCCCTGCTCAGTGCGACTCGCTCGGGCATCGCTGCTGGAGGGGCTGGTGGAAAATGCAAGACGCGTCAAGACTTCCGAGAGGGAATCTCTGGGGGGAGCCTGCTCAGGGGGGGGGGGGACGTCGACCTGAAGTCGGCGATACATCTCGCCGTCAGGTCGGCGACAGGTCTTCGAGGGCGAGTCCGCGCGTCCCTGGGCGGGGCGGGGGATCGCGCCCCTGCGAGCGATCGAGGGGCCATCGGGGTTCGATGCATCCCCCTCCAAGCCCATTCCCCCCCTGACATTGCCCCCCATGTAAGGTTTGGGGCCTCGAGGTCCGGGGGGGGGGAGGCAGCAAGTATGAGGCAGCTCCCGATGTTGTGTTCTTATTTTCGGAAACGGTCGCTACCCGGTGGGGGGGGAGGTTCGGCCCTGCAGTGACGGTGACGCTTCGGCGGGGTGGGGCACGTCAGACCGGGGATCCGCTGCGATCGCCAAAGTGTGTGTGTGTGGGGGGGGGGGGGGGGGCGAATCCAGGCACACACACCCCACGTACCATCGCTGCCGTGCACTCATTACCCGGGGAGGAAAGAAAGGGTGTGTGGCCCTGGTGGCGACCGCTACGCGCCGGAGGAAACCAAAACTGATCTCCAAAAGGGGGCGGGGGAGGGGCCTCAAGGGCGGCGCGGGAGGGTAAGGCAGCACATTCGAGGCAGCTCCTGGGGGGTCTTTCGTGGGGACGGCTCAGGACTGCCGAGCACGACCGGGGAGCCCCTGGGCCCGATCAGCTCCGGTGGGCCCGGGATTGAGCGCGGTGCGGCCCGATCTGGCGGGATCCGGCGGAATCGAGCGGGACTCGGCGGGATTCGGCCAATGTTCGACCACGGACAAGCCAGCACTGATGCTGAAGTCAACCTCCCAGGAGCTGCATCCGAGCACCAGGTCAGGAGGCGTCCCACACATCCATTGTCTTGAAAGACATGCCCGAAGTTGTTCACTACTTCTGGCCTCGCAGGGATCCTCGCAGCGCCCAAGGGCTCTCAACAACAGCTCGGGACCAGGAGCCGCCATTGGGGAAGGGGTCAGGGCTGCTGGGGGGGCCGTGACGACAAAAATGCATCGAATCTCTGGGGTGAACCCGCCTTTGAAATATGGGATGGCGCCTGCTACCAAGGCCGCCCCCTGTCAACATCACGCTTCGCGGCGGCACCGTCTTGGAAATGCCGCGGGGATCGCCAGTCGTCTCCAGCGCAATTCAAATAAGGCGGAAGAGAGGAGCGGACACCTCCAAGCAACGATCTCGGTGAGGACAGCTTGTAACCAACACATTCGGCAAGAGTCCTCGGTCTTGTTTTGTATGGTTGGCTTCCGGGGGGGGGGTCGGGTAACGGAAACGCTTCGGCGGGGTGGGGCACGTCGGGGCGGGGGTGCGCTGCGATCGCCGCAGTGAGCGCGCGGGCACCAGCATGTGGGGGGGGGGATCCAAGCCCCGCCCCAATGTACGATCGCTACCCTTCTCCTGGTTTGCCCGGGTAGCGGCCGTTACGCGCAAGAGGATAAAAGCCAATATCCTGCCAACGTGGCCGAAATAATGGCACATAATCAATTGGAGAAGAAGGGAACCGAGGAGAGCAGGAAGAGGAGAAACGGAGCAACGGTAGGGTTGGGTTGCGAATCAACTGCCTGCGGCCAGTCTTCCTGGCGAATGAGACGGCCCGTGCAACGGGGAGTAACTCGCATGCACGAGGTCAACTCTGCATGCACGCATTGCGGGGAACAACTCGCATGCACCAGGTATCGCAACCCCATCCCTTCCCAATCCCCTATTTTGCACGACACGAGTGCAGGCACCAAGTCAGAAGGCATAATGCATCTCCTGAATGCTTGCATGGGCGAAATTGCACCAGATCGAGCCAGGCCTCAGCCACGATCAAACGTAAATAGGCAACAGAGCAGGCCAGATTCAGTCGCACTGAGTTGAGCTGCGTCGGATCAGACCTGAGCCGATGCCGAAATCAACCTCCTGAGGAGTTCCAAGCAAAAAGAACCAGGGCAAGAGTTGGGCGCTCAATGGGGGAGAGGGCGATACATCGGGGAAGAAAGGTGCATTTCTCATGTTCTAGAAGCCCCCTTTGGGGACACTGAGGGGACCCTGCATGGGCCCGAAAAGGCTCCTTTTTCTCCCTTGCCCCCCCCATCACGCGAGGCCGACAAAAAAACACACACTTCCGCTCCCGGGGTACAAAAAAACGCCGGGCCCCCACAGAGGCCCTGTTGGGCGTCCGCGCCTGAAGCGACCCCTAAAGACTCTCCCCAAAGACTCGCAGAAGGCTCCCGACTCCTCCCACGAGCCTCACAAGAATCTCCCCCTATAGAGCCCTGGGTGGGAGCCTACGAGAATCATGCACGACCAGCGCGGCATGCCAACCGACCCTGCTGGAGGAGGAGGAGGAGGAATATGAGGAGGAGGAGGAGAAGGAGGCCCCTCGCTGCCGGGGACTCTCCCGGGGCCCAGGCGAACCGACATGGCTTCCAGACGGGCCGCGGCGGTGCGGCACCGGCGTCAGTGTCCAAAATTCGGCTCAAGGCCGAGGCCCTCGGAGCGCTCCAGGGGGCAGAGTCGCCTCCAGGAGCGGAGCGCTCCGGGGGGCAGATTTCTCGGATCTGCGCTGGAACCCCCTGGCGGCGCCTCCGGCGCCGCCCCTGGCGCGCTCCGCGCGCCAGGGAGGGGGGCAAAGCGCAGATCCAAGAAATCCAGCCGCGGCGCGTGCGCGGCCCAATGGGGGGCCCGGGGACGCAGTGAAATGAGGAGGCGCCATGCAATCTGCGGAGAAATCGTGGCCCCCGCCGTGATGTCCACCCCCCCATCACCCCCTTCGTCGTCGCCCCCGAGAGGGCCCCCAGCAAACGACGACGTCGCCGAGCGGCGACGGGCATGCCGCCGAGGAGGAAAACGGAGGGAACGCGCGTCCCCGGGTAGGGACGGCCCGATGTTGGCGACCTGCGCGGAGCGACCGTGGCCGCTCACCCCGAGCAGACTCGGGAGCTCTTCCGCCCTCTTTCGCTCCCTCTTCCTCCTCCTGATGTTCCGCATCCTCCGCCGCCTCATCCACGGTGCTGCGGCAGAGGGGAACTATGAGCGGGAAATTCACCCTGCCCCCCAAAACTCAAACTTGGCACGCGGGGAGGGCGGGTGCGGTCGACGTGCAACGCATCGGTCCAACCGCCAACTTTAACCATCGGGGGGTGGGGGAGGCGCTGACTGATGAATGCGGCAAGAATGTTCGCTGTTTCTTGTGTCCGAGGCCTGGGCTTCCGCGTCGTCCTCGCTATGAGCTCCTGGCCCCTCGCTCCGTGCTTCCAGCACCCGCCGCGCTCCTGCTGTCTCTCTCCTCTCTCCGCTGCCGTAGCCATCCTGGCTCAAGCCGCGTTTTCTCGAGGGCCAGAATGGCCCACGACGCGCTCGAAGTCACGCTGGCGGCGCCCGCGCGCGATATCGGGAAAGATGGGCGGCATACTATCCCGCGACGTCTTCTTCTCTTGCTGCCGACTCTCTCCTCCTGCGCCCCCTGCTCCCTGCCCCCCATGGCCCCCCTCCCCCGCCCCCCCTTCCGCCCTCCCCGTCCCTCCAGGGCCCCCTCCGCCTCCGCACCCGCGCCGCCACGGAGGAGGCCGGCGGTCAATCACAGGACGCGGCCCAACGACGACGGCGAGGGCGGCGGAACCGACCGATGAAGACGACGAGGGCGGCGGGGACGGCCCGGGGGAGGGGCCAACCCAGGCGCGACGCCACGCGCACGGCCGCTCCCCCCGCCTTCTCACACATCCGCTCTGCAAGCCGTCCCATCCGCTCTCCTCCTCCTCATCCTCGTCCTTCTCCTCCTCCTCCTTCTCCACCTCCTCCTCCTCCTCCTCCTCCTCCTCCTCCTCCTCCTCCTCCTCCTCCTCCTCCTCCGCCTCCTCGCTCCTCCTCCTCCTCCTCCTCCTTCCCCCCCCTCCTTCCTCCCCCCCCTCCTCCTCCTCCTCCTCCTCCTCCTCCTGCCCTCCTGCTCCTACCCTACTCCTCCTCCTCTTCCTCCTCCTCCTCCTCCTCCTCCTCCTGATTCCCCCGCCTCCCTCCTCCTCCTCCTCCTCCTCATCCGCCTCTTCTTCGTTTTGTTATTATTCTTATTCGTTTATGACTAATCTTAGATTAATATTATTATTGTTATTAGTATCAGTCGTCCTCTTATTATTCTTCTCATTAGTAGTACTGTTATTCGTATCATTCGTTACATTATCCTTCGTATTACTATCCGTCATATTATAATTATTCGCCTTAGTATGATGTTTATTTTGCGTATTCTTCTTAGTGTTATTCGTATCAGTATCTTTATTATTATTATTATTTTTATTCCTCCTCCTCCTCCTCCTCCTCCTCCTCCGCGTCCGCCTCCGCCTCCGCCTCCGCCTCCGCCTCCTCCTCCTCCTACTCCTCCTCCTCCTCCTCCTCCTCCTCCTGATCCTCCTCCTCCCCCTCCTCCTCCTCCTCCTGCTGCTCCACAATTACTCAATCTGAATACTACTCTCCCTCTTCCCCTGATGACGGCCTGGGAGTGTCCGACCCTCCCCCCGCGTATTGTTTTTGTTACACAAGAGTTGGGTTTTCGCCTGCATTTTTTCAAAATGCTGCTCTCGCTGAGGCGCCGGCCTCATTTTCGGGCCCCGCTCGTTCCGAATCGTGCTCCCGCTGCGGCGCTGGCCTCATGTCCGTGCTTCCGCTCGTTCCGAATCGTGCTCTCGCTGCAGCGCTGGTTTCATTTCCGCGCTTCCGCTCGTTTCGACTCTTGCTCCCGCTGCAGCGCTGGCGTCATTTCCCGTGCCATGCCACGGCACGCACTGCAATGCTAGGTTGATACTACGCTTTGCGGTGCTCTTCTACGCCATGCCATGCCGTGCTCTACAATGCATCGCGTACCCATCATTGCCCTGCTCGACATCCGACTGAGCGAGTGGAGAGGGGATCTGCGCCATGGTAAGGGATGGGAGGGAGGGGTAGGATGTCAGATATGACGCGAGCGCACCTAGCTTGTCCTCCTCCCCCTCCCCCTTCCCCCTCCTCCTCCTCTCCTCCTCCTTCTCCCCCTCCTTCTCCTTCTCCTCCTCCTTTTCCTCCTTCTCCTCCTCCTTCTCCTCCTCCTCTTCTTCTTCTCCTTCTTTTTGTTCGTTCTAGTTTGATATGTTTCTGATTATTCTTCCTCCTCCTCCTCCTCCTCCTCCTCCTCCTCCTCCTCTCCTCCTCCTCCTCCTCCTCCTCCTCCCTCTCCTCCTCCTCCTCCTCCTCCTCCTCCTCCTCCTCCTCCTCCTCCTCCTCCTCCTCCTCCTCCTCCTCCTCCTCCTCCTCCTCCCCCCGCACTGGGCGAGCACGCGGAAGCCTGGAGATCGTCCTCTCCGACGCCTTCTCGCGCGTAGGCGATGCCTCGCGCGGGCCGAGAGGCAGGAGAGAGGCGCAGCGCTCCAGCATAGTCGGGAAACAGCCGGACTTCACGCGCAAGGCGCACCGCACCGGCATGGAGACGTGCCGGCACTGGCAGGGCCAACGGCTCCGTGAGAAGGGCGCCGCTGTGCCGCGGAGAACGGCGTCGGAACGGTGCACACGAAGAGCACAACGGCATACACGTAAACTTCTGGCGCTCCGCGCGGATTTCTTGGATCTGCGCTGGACCCCCATTCCCTGGCGCGCGGAGCGCGCCAGGGGCGGCGCCAGAGGCGCCGCTGAGGGGTCCAAGCGCAGATCCAAGAAATCCGCGCGGAGCGTCAAAAGTTTATGCGTATGCCGTTGTGTTATTCTTCTCGCCTGGGCCTCCAAGCAGGACGGGTCATCCCGGGTCGCCCTCTGACGGGCCTGGAGGCCCCGCAAGGGCCGCCGAGGCCGAAGAGAACCCGAACATCCCCCGTCGCGCGGGACGCGCCGCAACATCCTGATATGATGCGTCCTCCTTGGAGGCGCGCGTCCGACCCAAAGACGTAGTAGATACCCATATTATAGCATGTCGTTTCCCGAGCGGCGTGGCCAGGAAGCGCCCGCCACGACGCGCTCACTGCAAGATTTCTCGATGTGTGCGTCGCCCCGGGGGGGGGGCGACGCACACTTGGTGTGAGCATGTTGGGGCGACGCCGATCGCGATCTGTTCACGAGGCGAGCATACCTGGGCAGTGCCCTGCAACACCTCAGGGGGGTCACCACATCGACACACGTTCGCTGTGCCAGACGGTCAGGGTCCGGCCTGTGAGGCGGGGGCCCGCTTCTCTGGCGCCGGGGTGGAGGGTGCCGTGCCGGCGCGAAGCGGAGCAGAGAGGGCAGCGGCACGGGAGGCCAGAGGAGGCGGGAGGCTCGTGGAGGGAGCGCGGGGTCGGGCGAGGGGAGCGACGACTGTGGGTCCACCTGGGGCAGCGCGTCGGGAGAGGTGGGTCTGGCCACGTGGGGAATGTGATGGAGCGCCACACAGAGGATCCATTCTCGGCAAACGGCGACGCGCCTGCCCAGAGGCCACATGCGCTTCCGTGAGGATAGACATGCACAGCGGATGTGCCTCACGCTCCTCCGCCGCCAAAGGAAAGGGGGCCCAGAGGCAACGAAAGCATACAGTTCTAGTAGAGCAAATATGTCCCGGCATTGTGGGCTCTTTCCCAGTAATACTTCTTCGAACCCGATGTGGCATGTTGCAACTCTGGAAAACCCACTTCAGGCTTCGGCGGGATTCCTGAACACCTACGAACTTTCCTTC